GAATTAGAAATACACTTATATAGAGCTACAAAGGAAAGTACTCATCAGTCATGTGATCAGAGGCTTTTGAGTCAATAACCCAAGGAGCAGGTTTATGAGAGGTAAGGAGCACAACACATAAGTACCTGAATTGGCAAGGGTTTCAGTAAAACAAGAAGGGGGAAGCATATACTAATGTAGTTGTTTAACAAGTTTGTTATATTCTTTGAAACGCACAACATAGTCACCAACATAATCTGACTGTTTCGGACGGTCGCTGTGTCCATTTAAATAACAATAACTCTCAGATTTTTCTTATATTCTTCTTTGAAAAGCACAACATAGTTACCAACAGAATCTGACTGTTGCTGATGGTCGCTGAGTCCATTTAAATAACAATCACTCTCAGATGTGTAACTTGGTTTGCCCAAGCAGGCTTACCAACCTTGTCCCAACATTTATCAACCATATGATTTGTACTCCTACAATGCAAACAATTATGAGTTCCTCAACCCTGCCATCATCACCTCTACCTCGGTCTTTTCTTGAGTCATGACCATGTTCCCGACCTCTGCCTCCATGACCTCGCCTAGAACTGTATTCAATGCTGAACCATCATGAAAACTTGAGTCAGAAGGAGAGGGAGAAGCAGATATATTAACACATTGAATGCTTGAGTAAACATTAGTGTGAGAGAGGAGTTTACTGCTTGCCAAGATCTTTCCACATGCATAATGGTACTCAAAATTAAGGCCAGATAAAAATTTGGCAACCCTAAATTCTTCATGCCGCCTCTTCTATAATTCCACATCACTAGATATAGGTTGATATAGATTTAACTCTTCCCACCGTGCCCTTGAGAGTACTATGATACTCGCTCACTCACTCTCTTATTCCCCTCTTGCAATTGAAACATTTTGAGATATTTTTATTTGAGGAATATGTTTCTTTCAAAGCATCCCAGATTTCTTTAGGTGTATCAATGAACATCACATAGGCACTTATTTGAGGTTCCATACTACACAACTAAGTCATGATTATGTAATTCTCTCTCATCCACTCTTCATATTTAATTTGAGGAATATTTTTCTTTCAAAGCATCCCAGATTTCTTTAGGTGTATCAATGAACATCACATAGGCACTTATTTGGGGTTCTATACTACACCAAGTCATGATTATGTAATTCTCCCTCATTCACTCTTCATGTCTACTATCATATTTAGTAGGTTTATCCTTAGTCCAGTACTTCAATTTCCCCCTTCGGATACTTTGACAGATCAAGAGTGCCATGAGGTCTCACAAACATCCATGCACCTCTCAGCCTTATATTTTATTAAAAATAGAAACTGATATAAATAAAACTGCCCATACAAATAGATCTTGGACACTTAGGTCCAAACCTTAGATAACAAAAGATTTTAACATAATTGAAGTATTTAGGTATATTTGTTTGTCTCTTGTTTGTGCTTTGCTATAACTGTTTCTTGCCTAGTTCTGTGCATTTGATTGCTTTAATATTTTCTGGTTTGATGATTTGGCATGTATTTTCTCTCCATTGCCCATATGTGATGTCGAAGGAATAGCATTGAGCTTTGAAGGATTCTGTATTCTCCTTGTGTCTCTACTTGGACCCCAAAGAGTGTTGATGTTCATTATGAACTTTCTTATGGAAAGAATTCCATGCAAGTAGAAATAAGCCGGAAGAGCTGTGCAAATGATGTTTGTGGCATCTCAATCGTGTTATGTTTGGAATTTTTAGGTTCCCGTACTTGCATGGGAATATTTTAATTCTTTTTGACAAGTCATAGTATCTCAATGATTAGGAAGGCCTTCATTATATCCTGCTACATGTTTTTAGACACATCTACGTTACAAGAAGTATTGTGAAGTGATGATTAACCCCCACTGGCTACCAACAGCTTTGTCCCCCATCAAAAGTAATTTCTATAACTAGTGGTGACATCTTTTTCAGGTCCATTTCACTAATTTCTAACTCCATTCGATGTCTAATGTTACCCACTGCACATTTTAAAGTTTGAATGCCACATTGTTTGGGTGTCCATGCTAAATTTAGCTTGTCACAGTGCCATGTAGCTTGGATGGAAAAGTACATGCAATTCACCGAAGCTCAGAAGCACATGGTTATGTATATATTCTTATTTTTGGGCTACTTTTATTGTGTTCTGGTTTATGTTCTCATAACTTTTGATTTGCTTCCATTGATGAGCACTGGCTTGAGATAATTTACTGCTTATTAGTTCAGTAAAGGCCTATAACTGAATGCTCGTATATTAATTCATAAAACATGCATACATGATGCAGATCAAGATTTGGTTGCTACAAAATTTTAATTTTATTTTTAGAGATGCGGGTAGGCTTTTTACTTTTTTTTATTAGGGGTAATTTTTAGCAATAGGATTAGTATGAGATTTTTGGTTTAATTGATAAAGTCCCTTTTTTTATATGAGTTGGGATAAGTTCGTTTTTTATGAGTTGGCTTAGAAAGGTTGAGTCCTATTTTAGTAGTCGGTATTTTCTTAAGAAAGTAGAGTCCTTCCCTTTTTTTTTCGGAATCTTGTTTTAAAAACAAAAAGAGATTAGTACAATAGTTAAGGTAGGATGCTTTTCTTTAAGGAGATGAGGTAACTTTTGGTGATGTGCTCATCTTGAAAAGGGAAGAAAAGGTAGAGTTTAAAAGGAAGAGATACGATATTTTAAAAGGGGCATTTTTTTTAGACGTGAATGAAACTTAGACGTTCTTTTACAGTAAGTGTAAAAGGCAAGAGAGAGAGAGAGAGAGAGAGAGAGAGAGAGAGAGAGAGAGAGAGAGAGAGAGAGAGAGAGAGAGAGAGAGAGAGAGAGAGTAGTAGTAGTAGTAGTACGTAGTACGTAGTACGTAGTAGTACGTAGTACGTAGTACGTAGTACGTACGTACGTACGTACGTACGT